AAATGGAAAGAGGGTGCACATGCCGAATTTTACAAAACCTTTTGGAGCTCTGTAGGTGAGCTCATGACTGATGCTTTTAATTATTGCTCTTTTGACTCAGGAGAAATGTCAAATTCACAAAAACAGGCAATTATGACATTAATTGATAAAAAAGGTAAAGATCAAATGTATTTGGAAAGCTGGACGCTGATTTCATTAATCAATACTGACTCCAAGCTTGCTTCGAAGCTCATTGCCAACAAAATTAACAAAGTCCTTCCTCAAATAATCCGCCTTAATCAGTCTGATTTTATCGAAGGTAGATTTATTAGAGTCAGGTGGCTTACTCAATTCTCAACATTATTGATTATGCTGAATTGTTAAAGATACCTGGTATTCTACTGTTTATAGATTGTGAAAAGGCCTTTGACTCTACTGAATGGGATATTTTTATCAATCACCAGAGGCCTTCCATTTTGGTCGTACCCTAATAAGATGAAGTAAAACCTTTTTTCATAAAACTCTTAAGTTGTGTTTTAAAATAATCGGTTATTTTCCAAGCCTTTTAAGTTACAAAGAGGTGTAAGGCAAGGGGACTCTTTGTCACCCTATTCATTTGTTGTGGCAATTGAAATTTTGGCTATACACTGTATCTCTTAGATCAAATGAGAATGTTAAAGGCATAAAAATTGATAATAATGAAATTAGAACACTTTTGTATGCCAATGATATGACTACTACTCTGGTGAACACCTATTCTGTAGAAATCTTTGTGCAAATACTGAACAATTTTGAAAAATGCTTTGGTTTAAAAATGAATATTTCAAAAACTGAAGTGATGTGGAGTGGGGAAAAGAGATCATTAGAAATTAAAAAGTAGCTGAAATTGCCTTAAAAACGTTGACAACAATTATTATCATAATGCAACTATTTTATTTCCCTCTCATTTACCATGATTAGTCAAGAACAGTACACTACAGCACATTCTCTAAAAAGAGTTTAAGTTGATTAAACAACTCAAGTATTCTAAGTATTCCTCTGAGAGTAGTGTCTACATGCTCTTTGTCCTGAGGTCTACCAATGTTTAAATATGTTAGAAAATTTTACTAACCATGTTGGGTTAGTTAGACACTCTTTTAGTAACCAAACGTTGAAAATTTCTAACCACTGGTTAATGCGTCACCATTAATTTCAAGCCCTGCCATTGCATGAATTATTCTTGATCCCTTATAGTGCAGCAGATAAAACTTATGTCTGGTCTTTTTACAAATACCAAATTATTTAAAATTGGGTTAATTGAGTCAGAGATGTGCTCCTTTTGTGCAATTTACAAAAAAGACTTATACCATCTCTTTTACGACTGCTCAGTATCTATGAGCCTTTTGGAACAGGTTTTGCACCTGGTGGTCTAATTCTCAGAGTGAAAATCTGAAGTAATCTCTAAAAGAAGTTATAATTGGCATTTGAAATAGAAATGACCGACTAAATTATCTGATAATGCTTGGTAAACTGTGTATATAGGAGTGTAGAAGGAACGAGTCAATCCCAAAGTTTAATTTGTTTCTACACAAAGTAGAAGCCAAGAAGGAGAGTGAGAGACTTTTTACCTTAAGATATAAGAAGCTTCAAGATTTTAGGAAAAGATGGGAAATATTTTTGTTGTGACACTGCATGGAGGAAATCTAATTGAAGTGTTTCTCCTTAGGTTCCTAAATTCTCCCAGTCCAAACTCCACAGAAAGTCCCGTAAAAACAACAAAACAACCACACTAGATTTTTAGAA